TTTCTTTCTTTCTTTCTTTCTTTCTTTCTTTCTTTCTTTCTTTCTTTCTTTCTTTCTTTCTTTCTTTCGTCGATCGAAGATTCTACAAGTACGACGATAAACCGCATGTCTTTTGGAGTGACGCATAAACTAGAACGGTAAAAGGTGTAGGTAATATTCAATGGTACATTTGCCGCCAGCCGCCGATTAACTCAACCCTAAGAAAACACCATCTGCAAACGTTTTATTTTTGTGCTGGTCGTTCGCAAATCATCAAATAATAGAAGTCGCTTCACGCCTTTTCCTTGTCTCTTTACTCAGCGTGTTGTTGTTTGTTTGTTTCTAAGGAGAGTATCAACATTTTACTTGGACGGTAGCTGCCATTTTCGGCTATGCCTTTCGTCTTGGTAGGACGCCTGGTTCGAAAAGTGTTGTTTTAACTTTATATTAAATTAGCCTGAAAGCGAGCAAGAATATCGTACTCCAAACCACACCGCCTGTTTTATTTTTATAGCATTCAGGTTAATAAACGAGTTATATATGGACGTTCAAACACTATATAAACCGAGATAAGCATTCGAAGAGTACAGCTATCGATATTGTAACCAGGATTATCAGACAACTGACTTACGAAGACGACCAGTTCCAATATCTTCACACAATGGCTAACAAAGTAGTACTTGCTGTCTGTATCTTACTTGTACTCAATATGTCTTTGATGTGTTCAGCGTTTACAAGTGTGATAACTAATGGCTGCTCCGGAGGCAGCTGTAGGTCTATTGACAAAAGAGCAAGTGAGGTAAGAATAGTTACATATCACTGTGAGCAGGGAGTCTGTATGTTTTCTCCTTGAATGAGTCGAGGGTTTTTCTTACTTACTTGTGAGTTGAGCGTCGTGTGCATAGAATATTGAATGTAGTGGAAGTGTGTGTGAGCGAAAAGTGTCCCCAATTAGTGCGAAAGCGCTAGAACGACTAGACACTTAAATAAAAGGGATTTATGTATTTATTTTTACGCGCTCTCAAAACCTAAAAGCTAAAACCCCATTAAATCTGTGAGTTAGCCATGCCCTGACTTAGATCGGCCTAGAGGTTGTTTTAGGGTTCAATCTGTGAGTTAGCCATGCCCTGACTTTGATATAAAAAATAAATAAACAAACAAACAAACAAGGAAAATGCTTGAACACCGCTTCTTCCCTGGAGTAAAAGACTGTACAATAGTAGAAAACAAGTTCTGTGCTCTTTCCTCAGATCCCTGTACGAACCACGAGATGCATAAAGTATGTCCTACAGCGACACGGAAAGGAGGTAGAAAACTGCTTCGTTGGAGGGTTTGCATAGATGCATGCAGGATTAACGACCATGGCTACTGACAAGAAGATAGAAAATGGAAAAAATACCTTTTTTAATCCCACAGAATTGAAAAACTGATTTAATCAATGAACGACTAAATTATTTTAGACAAAACATCATTTTTGAATCCTACAGGATTTATATAATCAATTCAAATAAACTATACTGAAATACTTATTTTAGTTTTCATTCAGTTTCAAATTAATTTTAAAAGACTTTCAATTTGTAAGGCCGCTAAAGAGTAAACTGATTTCGAGAGAGATCGAGTTACAAGAGCACAGAATTTTTGTATCTTGGTGTTTTAGCTAATGAACAGGATATATGTAGCCAAAAAAACGATCCATTTAATGAGGTGGGGTCAAGTTTCACGTCAAATGATGGTCAAATAGCATTTCACGAAATAATGAAAACGATTGAAATAATGCTTTACAAAATAGCCGGAGGTAACATTTACAGAACAAGGAACCGGCTCTCCCACGTGACTCTCCAACGTGTCTCTCCCAAGTGTCTCTCTCACGTGACTCTCCCACGTGTCTCTCCCAAGTGTCTCTCTCGCGTGTCTCTCCCACGTGACTCTCCAACGTGTCTCTCCCAAGTGTCTCTCTCACGTGACTCTCCAACGTGTCTCTCCCAAGTGTCTCTCCCACGTGACTCCAACGTGTCTCTCCCAAGTGTCTCTCTCACGTGACTCTCCCACGTGTCTCTCCCAAGTGTCTCTCTCACGTGTCTCTCCAACGTGACTCTCCAACGTGTCTCTCCCACGTGACTCTCCCAAGTGTCTCTCTCACGTGACTCTTCCACGTGACTCTCCCACGTGTCTCTCCCACGTGACTCTCCCACGTGTCTCTCCCACGTGTCTCTCCGAAGGAGTTCGACACACTTGTGGAGAGAGGAGAGGAACGCATCAGGAAGAGAAGAGAGAGAAACGGCTAAAAAAGACAGCAAGGAGAAAAAAATAACGGRAAAATATAGCGAGGAGAAAGATCCAGCATAAAAGGGAAGAAAATGCAGTAGTCACTATCGAAATTAATTATTATATTTTGTTTTCGTTTGTCTGCGGACAAATACACCGCTGGAAAAATAGAGAGGAGGGTGAAAGATGGGATAATAAAATAGAGAGCTGAATATTAGATGCTAGTTCCTCTCCGTTCTGCCTTGCCAAACACCAAACTGAACTATTAATAGATACGACTACAAAAGTTTATCGAAAATTTTCGTATTGCGCGCAATTCATTTTGAAGCCGGTCTCTCGCTACAAAATCTTCATTTGAACAAGTACAAAGTAGACTTTATTTTTTCATGAAACGTACCTGAAAAAAGCTTTTAAATGGCAAGGCTAGTTTGTTTTAAAACTCCATCACACCTAGGATTTTTTTAAATTCGTTCTATCTCTTTCTCGTTTGTTCATAGCTGGAACTTGGGTTTATATATCTATACTGAAGTGAATTTACTAAAGGTAAATATATATGATTGCTTAGCTGTTGTATCACTGCGTGGGACTGAATCACAATGAAGCCAGGCTCCAAACCAGACTACGAAAAGCCCCAAAGATCAAAAAGCAGTCTATCAAACGATGAATATCTTCTTTATTATATTTTCAAAGACCTGTTTTAAACAATAGGTTAAGAAACTTTAACATTACATTGCATAAATATGCGAGTATTTTTCATGGTTCCTCTTTCATTCATCGCCATGAAAATAGAAATCCGTTTATTTGTTCTTCTTGATTTCATTCTTCCTCAGGAATATCTCTGTCAGTATCCTCCTGGAATCTGCTAGGTATTCTTTGTGCTTCTTTCTTTACTATATCGCTGTGTTGTATCCATTTGATCGTTATTATGACACTTTTGGTCCCAGATATCCCGCAACCTGTTTGGTTTTAAGGGCTGAGAAGACATAAAGGGGCAATTTTAGCAAGCAAATTGTTATAAAAATTATGAAATATTTAAATGAATTAAGGTATCAGGAGGGGATTTGGACCCCTTTGTCTCAAATATTGCACGGACTTTACAATATTTTTCCATAAAAGTATACATTTTCTAAAAGTTAAATAAACGTAGTTTTCGAAAATTTACTATTTAGAATTATCAGTTTTGGAACACAAACATTTTTGTATAAAACTACAATAAAATGGTTTTCTCAGAATTGACAGTACAATCAAATGGCTTTTACGACACCGTTTTCGTCAGTACAAGGCAAGCCACTATGCAGCGCAATCAAGTTTTGTACAGCGCCGTTGAATGGTTTCCTCAATACAGTGAATCAAATGGTTATCTTTACTGATAAGCAATTAACTGGACTTTATTTGTGCAGTGCAATCATGAGTGGTTGTTAAGTTTATGCTACAGTCAAATGGTTTTCCCAGTACAGTGCAAGTCAGTTCATCACTCAAATGACTTCAACTTACCACTCAAATGGCTTTAGCTTACCACTCAAATGGCTTTAACTTACCACTCAAATGACTTTAACTTGCCACTCAAATGGCTTTAACTTACCACTCAAATGGCTTTAACTTTATACCACTCAAATGGCTTTAACTTACCACTCAAATAGCTTTAACTTACCACTTCAGCTCTCTTTCCGTGGTTTCCGAGGCAGCTCGTAAACTGCGCTTGACTCTGACGAAACAAGAAAAAACAAGAAAGTACAACCAAACACAAAGAAATACGTCGAAGTCCTTTGTTCATCGTCCTGGTGTTTTCTTCAATTCTTTTCAGTTTCTTGCGAGAGTCTGAGTGATGCTTATCTTCGCCTCTTTCTAAACTTCAGTTATGACCCTAACCATCTCAGATATCGGGGTTTTATAGAATAGCCCTCTCCCAACTCAAAGGAAAAAATTTCCATCTCACAGAGAGGAAACTTTAAGAGGCCAACACAATATCGCCTGGAAGACGATGTCTTTTAGCTTTGAATCTCTGCGTGAATATCAGTTTTTATATATTTTAAGCGGTCAACGACACTTTTGATATTTGGTGTTTTAAACCATACATGTTTCGGCAAGTTCGACTGCCACAAGTGAATTAATAGTTTTGAGCAAACAACGACAACTTTTGATATTTGGCGGTTTTAAACCATACATGTTTCGGCAAGTTCGACTGCCACAAGTGAATTAAGTGGACGACATGCCGAAACATGTATGATTTAAAATCGCCAAATATCAAAAGTTGTCGTCCGCTCAAAACTATTGATTCACCTGTTGCTACTAAGACCTTTTTATATATTATATTTTGTAGTTTTCCGTTATCTCTGAAACGATAAGTGCTTGCTTGTCAAGCAGAGAATATCAGGGCCATTTTTCATGCGGGATACCTTTAAATATAGGTGCATTCGAGACAGATGGTTTTGAAAATTTGTTAAATAGAAGATATAAYATATTTCGAGTATTGCCACGAATTCCCATCAAGCGCTTGTATTTTTTCGAGAGTAAATCTGCTGCTTCTTTAAGTAAGATACGAAAATTTTAGTCCGCCCGTATACGAGAACAATGATAGACAGCTATATTATTCCAAGAAAATGAACGCTCTCCTAATCTAATCCAAAATCATACAGTCAACAAACTAATGATATCCTAAGCTTAAAAACTGCTCTAATGAATTTACAAGTACCGTTTCTTACGATACAGCGCCGGTCTCTGATGCAACGCGAATATGTGCAAGTTTAATGAGAGACATAATCAACCATTTTCGACTCATTGCTTCGTAGTCCGTTATCCACGGTGAAAGGAATGCCCCATGCTTTGTAGGAGTTAAGGAGATTGACTCTAATTATCATAATGTATCCATTAGATAGCAAAGAATACCGTCAGGAATTCAAGCTGTTTAAAAACAACGGAACAAAGCCACAGGTTAGGAAACTAGAAAAGGAGGAAGTACCGATAAATTGCTTAGGTTTTGCTTGACGTCATTTCCTGAGTCGTGCGAAATGTTCATCACGTGCCGGCGCCCATAATCCAGCTTGGGCTGCCTGTGGTTAGACGGGCAGAACAATCAAATCTCTTTGCTCTCGTGAGTATTGAATATTTTCTCATGTAAAAACGACTTGTATAGTTGTATTGTGGTCAGTGCATGTTGGACTACTATTAGATCCGCTCTTTGTACTCACATGACCAACGTCKGAAATAGAGACAGCTTTATTTTAGAGCCATATTTTTCGTGATGCATTTTACATATAACTAGTGTTCAAAACCATCTGTCCGAATGCATCTATATTTAAAGGTATCCCGCATGAAAAATGGCCCTAATATTCTCTGCTTGTCAAATATAACGGAAAACTACAAAATATAATATATAAAAACGGATCTTCACGCAGAGATTCAAAGCTAAAAGACATCGTCTTCCAGGCGATATTGTGTTGGCGTCTTAAAGTTTCCCCTCTGTGAGTTGAAAAACTTTTCCTAAAGTAGAGAGAGGGCTATTCTATAAAACCCCGATATCTGAGATGATTAGGGTCATAGCTGAAGTTTGGAAAGAGGCGAAGATAAGCATCACTCAGACTCTCGCAAGAAACTGAAAAGATTGAAGAAAACACCAGGACGATGAACAAAGGACTTCGACGTATT